AGCAAAGATGCTTGTAGACTGAAAGGGAAAAAAGGTATTCCAAGCTAACAGAAACGAAAAAAGTGGCCATCCTAAATTCAGACAAAATAGACTTAGCACACCAACTATTAAAAAGAGACAAAGAATGACACTACATAATGATTAAAGGATCAATCCAACACAAGACATATTATAAATCTATATGCATCTAATTACTGGGCGCCTGGCTATTTGAAAGAATTATTATGGATCTAAAGAAGATACAGACTCAAATATCATAGAAATAGGGGACTTCAATACCCCACCTTCAGCAAGGGACAGATCAACAGACAGAAAATCAACAGGATGGCCGGCGCTGCGGCTCTCAAGGCTAATCCTATGCCTGAGGCGCCAACATCCCGGGTTCTAGTCCCGGTTGGGGCACGGATTCTGTCCCAGCTGCTCCTTTCCAGTCCAGCTCTCTGCTGGGCCTGGGAAGGCAGCAGAAGGTGTCCAAGTTTTTGGGCCTGCACCCGCATGGGGGACCAGGAGGAAGCACTGCCTTCTGGCTTCGGATCGGCGCAGCGTGCCGGCCGTAGAGGCCATTTTGGGGGGGTGAACAATGGAAGGAAGACCTTTCTTTCTGTCTCTCTCTCACTGTCTACTCTGCCTGTCAAAAAAGGAAAGGAGAGGGAGGGGAGGGGAGGGGAGGGAAGGAAATCAACAGGGCAACAACAGAGCTATTTGATACTACAGATCAAACAGACCTAGCAGATATTTACAGAGCCTTCCACCCCACAGCTACAGAGTACACATATTTCTCCCTGGCATGCAACTTTCTCTAGGATTGGCCATATGCTAGGTAAAGCGAGTCTCAGCTAATTCGAAAAAGTTTAAATCGCACCATGTATCTTCTCAGACCACAATGCAATGAAGCTGGAAATCAAAACTTGGGAATCTCTAAAGCATATACAACACGTGGAGACTGAACAAGATGCTCCTGAACAAACAGTGGGTCGTAGAAGAAATCAAAAGAGAAATCAAAAATTTCAGGAAGCAAGAAGACAATACAACCTATCTATATTGTGGGATACAGCAAACGGTAAGAGAAACGTTTATAGCAATAGGTGTCTACTTTAAGAACTGGAAAGTCACAAAAAAATGAACTCTCTAAGTACCTCAAGGATCTAGAAAAACTACAGCAAACCAAATGCAAAGCTAGTAGGTGAAAAGAAACTATAAAATTAAAGAAGAAATCAACAAAATTGAAACAAAAAATAAGCAAAATGAAGATTTGGTTTTTTGGAAAAATAAACAAAATTGACACAACATAGGCCCAACTAACTGAAAAAGGTGATAAGACTCAAATCGATAAAATTAGAGATGGTAATGGAAATTTAACAACAGACACCATAAATAAAACCTAAACAGACCCATAACCAGACAGAAATTGAATCAGTAATAAACGCGCCTCCCAACAAAGAAGAGCCCAGGGCCAGATAGCTTCATTGCTGAATTCTACCATAAATTTAAAGAAGAACTAAACCCAGTTCTTCTCAAATTATTCAAAACAATTTAAGGGGAAGGAATCCACCCAATAAGCCAATATCACCTTAATTCCTAAACCTAGAAAAGATGCAACAGAGAAAGAAAACTATAGACCAAGCTCCCTGATGAATACAGAAGAAAAATACTCAATAAAATCCTGGTCAAGGCTGGTGCCGCGGCTCACTAGGCTAGTCCTCCGCCTTGCGGCGCCAGCACACCGGGTTCTAGTCCCAGTCGGGGCGCCGGTTCTGTCCCAGTTGCCCCTCTCCAGGCCAGCTCTCTGCTGTGGCCAGGGAGTGCAGTGGAGGATGGCCCAAGTGCTTGGGCCCTGCACCCCATGGGAGACCAGGAGAAGCACCTGGCTCCTGGCTTCAGATCAGCGCGGTGATGAAGAAGTAGATGGGAGACAGAGAGGTGGCGGGATGGGAGTTGGGGGGAAGGGGGTATAGGGAGAAGAACCATTATATTCCTGAAGTTCTGTGAAAAAATTCATTCTTTAAATAAAACCTTAAAAAAGATTGCTGTCTGCCTGTCTTTAGCTTTCAACTAAAATGAAATAATTAAAAGCAGTCAGGAAAACTGATTGTTTTTTTTTTCCCTCAATGATAGGATAACTTTTTTTTTTCTTTCTCAATGATAGGATCACATCAAGTTTTCACTAAATGTAAAAGCTCACCTTAGGTGATTCAGTGGAAATGAGATTATCTCTATAAAAATTACAAAATTACTGTAGAAATAAACATATACAAAATTCTACCAAAAGTATGTAATCTTCACAACTGTTTATCAAATGCCATTGTTACCTAATTTCACTGAGTCTTATGACCTGTGACCTTACCATTCATTAAATTTTAAAATTTTGGCCATAAATTCTTTCAGAAACCTTTTTTTGGTCATATTCCACTGTACTGAGCCACAAGTATTTTTCATATGTAGAAATGAAATTTATGTCTCTTTGGTATCTTCCAAGTCTCAACATATTCATTTGTTTTCTAGAGCTTCGTGAATATATAGGATTTATAACACTAACATTAATTTTTTAGTAAATTTATTGAGAAAATTAATCATATTTAGACCACTAACAGACTGGTAAATGACACAGTAAAATAAAAGAAAAGGAATAAACCAAGAATAAGTGAACTGTGCAGCATGAGATAGTTTAAAAAGGCATTTCTAAAAGTTTCTGGAAAACCAGAATTACCTACTGCATTACAGAGCTCTTTGAAGATAAAAACATTTTAGTTTCAATTACCATGAGATTCTGACATGCTCTTATACACATTTTATCCAAGTCTTTAAGAAGGGATGATGGGGAGCTGGTGTTGTGGCAAACTCAGCTCTCTTCTATGACCTGACCAAAGCAGGGGAAGATGGCACAAGTGCTTCAGCCCTGGCACCTGTGTGGGAGACTTGGAAGAAGCTCCTGGCTCCTGGCTTCGGATCAGCTCAGCTCTGGCCACTGTGGCTATATGGGGCATTAACCAGCAGACAGAAGACGCCCCCACCCACCCACCCATGGCCTTCTGTAACTCTTCCTTTCAAATAAGTACATACATATATTTTTTTACAGGCAAAGTGGACAGTGAGAGAGAGAGACAAAGACAAAAGTCTTCCTTTTGCCGTTGGTTCACCCTCCAATGGCCGCCGTGGCCAGCTTGCTGCGGCCGGCACACTGCGCTGATCCGAAGGCAGGAGCCAGCTGCTTATCCTGCTCTCCCATGGGGTGCAGGGCCCAAGCACTTGGGCCATCCTCCACTGCACTCCGGGCCATAGCAGAGAGCTGGCCTGGAAGAGGGGCAACCGGGACAGAATCCGGTGCCCCGACCGGGACTAGAACCCCGTGTGCCGGTGCCACAAGGCGGAGGATTAGCCTATTGAGCCGTGGTGCTGGCTCATACATATTTTTTTAAAATGGGATGATGGATGAAGGGCAGTGAGAAAGCATTATTTTGAAAAACAGAAAAGGCTAGCATTTTTCCAAACATGGCACACAGCAAAAAACTCAGAGATCAATTCAGCAAGTCCCAGGGAAATGACTCATGAAGAAACACATAAAGGTAAATTACCATCATAATGCTTATAATCAGTGGTAGAAAATACAGGCATACTACAAAGGGAAGAAAAGTATGAACAAGAATTACTGAGGAAAACAATGCAGTCAAGTAACCCAGAACAGTTGTTCTGGGTTGAAGCAAAACGACTGTCAACGTACACTTTAAACTCATAAGAAAATTCTTTAAAAAATAACTAAGATAATGGCAATTTCTGACACGAAAAATAATGATCACGTACACATAAATGTTAAAAGGCATTCTTTAGGCATAAAGAAAATATTACCTGATGAAAATATGGGCCCAAAGACAGGCAGGATGAAAACTAAAAATTCTGAGAATTTGGGTGATTTTATTCATTATATTTCTTTGTAAATAATGTATTGCAAAGTTTATGGTACATATAACAAAAATATTTGATACAAAGATGATAAAAAAAAGTATTTTAAGGTTCTGTGAATCAACAAAATATCGTAAGCTACACTAAGCACATTAAGGATATACTACAAATTTAAAGTCAACAATTTAAAAGCAAATGGAATCAAACACTAGTGGCATGCACTCCAAAGTCTCTCGGTAACTTTATAACTTCCTTTTTCTATGATCTCACAGACACCTCTCTAAGTCCCAGCTAAGATTCCAGACTCATTCTTGGCTTTTATTTAGTTTGAAGTGCAGACATGTTACTACATAGCTTTTGCATTGGCTCACCTACTTTCCCTTTGTTCCAAGCAACCACTTCTCACTTGTGGCCCACCCCTGTGATGGCTATGACATACCCAGAACTTTGATCTCAACAGGATGAATGCCATTCAGTTCACTCATGCCCTGAACTTCCGTGAAGGAGACAAAGTCTCCACTCTCAAATCCATGTCGGGTCTCATCCAGGCATGTAACAATCCCAGGGTTGTCCTATATGGAGAAAGAGTTAAACTTCAGAAGCAGGCTCAACTGCCAGCACAAAGAATGATTTGGTACCGTCCTGCTTATTCTGGAACCCCTAGGATTGGTCTCCTTACCTTCGTGACCATAGAAACCATAGCACTGAGTGGCTGCTCCCCATTAGAATCCCTAACAATCATTTCCTTTCCAAAGTCACAGAACAGCTGCCTGTAGAGGGAACCAAAAGGACTGGTGCATGACACCCACGAAAACAGACACTGCAGGTTCTTCAATATACAGTAAGTACTGGCCAAGCAAACTCGGTACACTGGTGACAATTAGGTGGCACCGAATCATGCCATACTGGGAGAATGAATATGTGAAACTGAAAATTCAGATGTCTAAATGGAATCTGAAGGCAATACACGCCTCCCAGTGTGAGTCTGGCAAGTGTGGAGGAAGGAAGGAAAGATAAAAACTCACCCAAACAGGCCACGTGTGTCTGCTACCACAAGCTTGATGCCATGGTTGTGGCAGAACTCACCCACCTGCAGCTGATCCTCCAAGGGAGTGTTAGTAAGGACCACTACCTGTAAAAAATCATAGGACTGGGCTAAAAACCTGACACTGTAAGTAACAGAGAGAATAAGCACTAAGTTTTCCTCTGGTTAAACTCTCTTCCTCAAACTGTTGTATACTTCCTGTGTGTGTCAGATTCGGGAGGGTAAGAACTGGTGAAACAATATGAACTCTCAGAGACTATGACAAAAAATCAAAGATGACCTGTAAAGAATCTGATGAACAACTATTTCATTTCTTTAACTAATACTCACTACTGCCTGTATTTTTTGTGCTTGAGGGGTCAAAAAAAAAAAAAAAAAAAAAGCAACAACACTATTCCAGTGAAAACATCTTGCGTTTATCTCCAAACCCTATTGCTCCAATACTTAAGAAAATAGTTGTAGGGGCCACTGCCTGTGGTGTTGTAGGTTAAGCCTATGCCTGTGGTGCTGGAATCCCATATGGGCACAGTACGAATCCTAGCTGCTACACTTCTAATCCAGCTCCCAGGCTACGGCCTGGAAAAGAGGTGGAATATAGCTCGAGTGCATGGGCCCCATACCCACACGGGAGACCTGGATGAAACTCCTGGCTTCTGGTTTTGGATCAGCCCAGCTTTGGCAGCTTAAGCCATCGGGGAGTGAATTAGTGGATGGATAACCTCTCTGTGTGTCCCTCTCTCTCTGTAACTCTGCCTTTCAAACAAATAAATGAATTCTTAAAATACTTATTCAGCCACAATCTATAGGATTTGTTTTTTATTGCCATCATTTATTCACCAGGATAAATTCCAACTCCTACATCAGGGATCCTTGTGCCCTAGTCCTCTAGTATAGAAATCAGCTATTTAATTTTACTAAAAATTAGGCGCACTATTAAGCCTAAGTCTCATAAATACTCTGTAAGGCCCACATTCTGTGTATTCACAGGAAATAATAAGGCAGAAGAAGTCAAATGACTTTCTCTAGACCATACTCTAGGCTGGCGCTGCGGCTCACTAGGCTAATCCTCTGCCTTGCAGCGCCGGCACACCGGGTTCTAGTTCCGGTCGGGGCACCGGATTCTGTCCCGGTTGCCCCTCTTCCAGGCCAGCTCTCTGCTATGGCCTGGGAGTGCAGTGGAGGATGGCCCAAGTGCTTGGGCCCTGCACCCCATGGGAGACCAGGAGAAGTACCTGGCTCCTGCCATCGGATCAGCACGGTGTGCCGGCCACAGAGCACCAGCCGCGGCGGCCATTGGAGGGTGAACCAACTGCAAAAGGAAGACTTTTGTCTTTGTCTCTCTCTCTCACTGTCCACTCTGCCTGTCAAAATAAATAAATAAATAAATAAAAATAAAAAAAATAGACCATACACTAGAAGAGTTCAAGACTTAAACAGTAGCAGTTGAACTACAAAGTTCTACTACAATAATCCACGTACCACAATGTATGGCCATATCCTTTAAATAGATGAAAAAGGACAGCTCGGCTTCTCTTTGCAATAAACCTAAGCAATAAACCTAAGATACCAGGTCACCCTGCTAGGTAAATATTTACTAAAGGAATCAGAACTAACATCTGGAAAAAAGATAAAGGCCTGCATATTACCTGGAAATCTCTAAGGAAGTCCTCAACAAACAGCGGTCCTGTATAGGTGCTGACAGGCACGTAGCTGTTGAGTTCAGCAAGGCGGGGTTGGGATACTTCAGCTCGGTTTTTACCAATATCTTCTTCCCGTAGGTAGTACTACAGTATTAAAAAAGAGAACTGAACTACATGAGGAGTCTAAGGAGTTTGTCTTTCCAATGGTTAAGAAAGCAGAAATGAGGTACCTGAGAAGAGAGATCAGCCCACTGGGCAGTGCCCTGGTCATGCAGGGTAACAGCTTTCACCCCACCAAGGATGATGTTCTTGGCGATCTCAACACCCAGGCCCTGCAGGCCTGACACTAGCACACTGGATGTCTGAAGACGCTTCATTGCTTCATGACCCAGCACATACCTGCCAGATTCAGAGAGGCCTCTGGGTCAAACCATAATCTTGCTGCACCTATTTTCAACACTCATCATTAGCTCTGGACCCACTTACAGCTGGCGGGAGTAAAGACCTTCATCTATGTCTGTTTCAATACTTTTCTGCATTCCCTATGGATGGAGGAGAGAAAAACAGAGTTGGGAAAACAGGCATTAATGGAACATGGAGAGATGGATAAAGGCACTTTCTTCAGATCATGCTACATACCCACTTCTCAGATTTCCATGGAGAAAACACTTACGTTGGTTGGTTCTGAGGGCACTTCCAACGTCACAGGGTAGGTAGGGAAACAGTGAGACTCTAGTGTTGAATCAGGCCCAGAAACACGGCGTTTCTTAGATGAGAGTGAGCTAGACATCTACCAGAAAGCCAGCATAAAACATAAGGTACTTAAGGATGGGATTTTTTGTCAGAAGCAATTCTGGGAAAGAACAGAGCTTTAGTATTAATATACCATCTTTAAAGAAACACAGGACACGCTACTGAGGTTATCCTGAAGGAAAACTGAGGCTGAGTTTAAACAGTGTAGGGCCCAAATTATTAGATTCAAACTTGCTAGATGGAAAGTGAGGCTCAGGGGCCTGCATGGTGGCGCACTAGGTTAATCCTCCACCTGCAGCACCAGCATCTCATGCGGGCGCCAGGTTCTGGTCCCACTTGCTCTTCCTCCAGTTCAGCTCTCTGCTGTGGCCCCGGAGGCCAGTGGAGGATGGCCCAAGTGCTTGGGCCCCTGCGCCCACATGGGAGACCAGGAGAAGCACCTGGCTCCTGGCTTCGGATCTGCGCAGCGTCGGCTGTTGCGGCCGTTTGGGGAGTGAACCAACGGAAGGAAGACCTTTCTCTCTGTCTCTCTCTCTCTTCTCTCACTGTCTTTAGTAACTCTACCTGCCAAATAAATAAATAAAAATCAAAAAAAAAAAGTGAGGCTCAGTTTCACCACTCAGTAATACTGAACCCCATTTTGACTTTTTTAAATTGTTTTTACAAATTTTATTTGAATGTCAGTGAAAGAGAAACATAGAAAATGAGTCTCATGAATGTGAGATATCTCCCTTCCAGTGGTTCCCTTCCCAAATCCCCAAAACAGCCAGAGATGTGCCATGCCAAAGCCAGGAGGCTGAATTGCAATCACAATGACCAGGATTTCAAACAGGCACTCTACTAAGGAATTTGGGTATCCCAAGTAGCAACTAATAATTGTCTCACATGTTGACCAGAAACATAATTTTTTTTTAATTTTTTTTTTTATTTTTTTGACAGGCAGAGTGGACAGTGAGAGAGAGAGACAGAGAGAAAGGTCTTCCTTTGCCGTTGGTTAGCCTAGTGAGCTGCGGCACCGGCCCCAGAAACATTTTAAACTCTGATTTTTAAAGCGATTTATTTATTTATTTTATTTATTCACTTGAAAATCATACTTATAAGCAGGGGAGACAGGGAGAGAGACAGACACATTCTCCATCTGCTGGCTCACTCCCCTCATGCCCCAATGGGAACGGGGCTAGCACAAAGCCAGGAGCTTTATCCATTTCTCCCATATTGTAGCTGGGGCCCAAACACTTGCGCTACCATCTCCTGCTTCTCCAAGGCCATTAACAGGGAGCTGGATTTGAAGTGCAGCAACCTGCACATGGACAAGCATGCACAGGGGATGCCAGCTTTGCAGGTACCAGCTTCTACACCCTTTTAAGAGAACACAGGTGAGGCCGGCGCCGCGGCTCACTAGGCTAATCCTCCGCCTAGCGGCGCCGGCACACCGGGTTCTAGTCCCGGTCGGGGTGCCGGATTCTGTCCCGGTTGCCCCTCTTCCAGGCCAGCTCTCTGCGTGTGGCCAGGGAGTGCAGTGGAGGATGGCCCAGGTGCTTGGGCCCTGCACCCCATGGGAGACCAGGAAAAGCACCTGGCTCCTGGCTCCTGCCATCGGATCAGCGCGGTGCGCCGGTTGCAGCGCAGCGGCCGCGGCGGCCCTTGGAGGGTGAACCAACGGCAAAGGAAGACCTTTCTCTCTGTCTCTCTTTCTCACTGTCCACTCTGCCTGTCAAAAAAATTAAAAAAAAAAAAAAAAAAAGAGAACACAGGTGGACATCCAGCAGGGGAGCTGAAGGGGGGGGGGTCTCACAATTAATAACAAATTTGATAGGATCTGTGAGGGAAAAATACTAGTGGGAATGGTATAGACTTCTGATAACTATGAGTCCAAACATGTATTTCTTTGATGTACGGTCTTTGGGGTACATCTTAGGGGAGACACTGAGAGTTTTCTGAAAAGAATTCTGACACCCTGCGGAGAATAGTATTCCATAAAAGTATATCCTGGAAGTGTGCCTCTAAATGGCTAGTGAAGAAGAGTTTCCATTGGAAGGTGATGTAATTTGCATTGTGGAGGTGGGGCCAATATTGGGTGTAGGGGTCTTCCTAACGGTCAGTTCATGGAAGTCTCCAAAGGCAGATTTTGGATTTGACAACTTTCTAAAAACTAATTTAAACGATCCAAATAGAATTTCTGGGCTACACAGAAAGTACAACCAAAAATGAGATCTCAGAGGCAAAGTAAATACGGTCTGCCACAGAGCCTGGTCCTGCTTTAGCTCCTAAGTTAATCTGGGGGTCAAACAGCAAGGGAAGAGATATATCTGAAGGAAAATGTCATATAAAGTTCTACATTGGGGGGAAGCTAAAAAGCAAACTAATCTTCCTTAGAATTTGGTCTCTGTTAGAAGCTGTGGGACAAATACGGGAGGGTCAGGGCGCCTAAGGATTTTAAAGACCCTACAGAGGAAGTAAAGACCACGAAGATTCAAAAGTGAAACGCTACAGGAAACATTCAGATATCAGACGCTAGGACCGGCAGAATATGGTTCCAGGCTCAGAGCAGTAAAGCCTGATACACTAAAACATGAGCCCTGGTATGTGGGTTGATTAAATGCGTGTCAGCTAAATCCCAGAATCAGTTGTGTTTGGGCGCCCCCTCTCCAAAACCTGCTTTCCTTTTCCCCTCCCCCAGTCTGCATTTCCAGGCTCTGTTCCTCCTTTCCAAACTGAACTTCCTCCCCCACCTCTGTGGGCACGCCTCCCTGCCTCTCCTCCCCCATTCCCTGCCGCCTGTTCTACTCGTCATTTCCCTCCTCGCTTCCCTCTGCATCTTCTAATTCCTCTACTCCCACTGTTTCTGCTTGTAAGCCCCCTCTCCACGCTGTCCTCCACTCCCTCCCGATTCTCGCTTTCCAACCTGCCCTCAAAAAAGCGTTTGCGCCACAACAGCCCGGCTCAGCGACTACGCAGGCCCTTTCAATGCCCCAACAATCTACTAGCAGTGATAAAGCAAGAAAGGCTGTAAGTTACCAGATGCCGTTTTCTGATTCTTCCGCTGTGGTGGACACCTCAACGAGCCAAGGTCAGTCACACGCTGCCGCCGTCTCCCTACTGCTCCCTGCTGGCTTGACCAGCTAGACTTGGGGCTGTCGCCTTCCACTCCCAAAGCCGTTGAAATTGTTGTCCTCCTTCACTAGGCGCTGAAGAAAGATGGCGACCGCCAAACCGGAAGCTGAGCAATATGTTTGTTGGATTCGGTGACCAGGATGTAGGAGGACCACGCCTCCTTATGAATTATGCATGACGTCATCAACGCCTAACTAACATAAAAGTGAGAACGAGGATAGCGGTTCTGCCTCATGGCTGGAGTTACTAAAATTGTTAAGACTTAGATATAAATGTATGTTCAGTGACTAACGATAAGATGGTAAGACATAAATAGGTTTTTGGTCACAAATCGTACATCACAGTGGGTAGTAGGGAACTCAGAAATTCAATTTTTAAAAAAAGACAACAAAGGCAAATGGCAAGTAAAGCGGAAGAGATCGACATTTTCCAGAACTGAAAAGCAGTTATTTCTAAATTTTAATTAATAATCTCTGGCCAGGGATTCACGATTTCTTTCAGACTCCTAAAATTATACTTGAGGAGAAACCAATGCCTCATTTCCTCTTCTGTAAAGCTGATAACAGGATGAATTATGGAGTTTGAGATTTAAATGTTGAATGTCATTTATGGAAATAAGAAAATAAAAAGCACATGCATTCTGTGTTGCAAACTCCAAATGTCAAATTTAAAATAATAGTTGATATAAATGTTACATTATTAGATAAGTTATGTGCTAATATAATTTTGAATTAGACATCATGCAAATCTGCAACTTCAGGCTTTTAAGTCACAAAGAATGGGCACACTGATGCAAGACCAGTGTTGTAGTGCAGTGGGTTAACCTGTTGCTTGTAACATTGGCATCCCTGTAACACCAGTGTCGCTTTGCTACTTCACACCTACCTTCCTGCTAATGTGCCATTGAGTATATTGTTGTAAAGTTCACCTATGTTGCAGCACTGATTAGTATGTTGTTCATTTACCCATGAAATGATTGCTGAACATCTGGATCCTTTTCATCACTTACCTATGGGGAATATTGCTGCTTAAAAATACACTTGCACATGGATCTCTTTAGATAGCTGTTTCCAATTTTTCTATTGATAGAAGTGGAGCTTCTGGGACACATGATAATTTCTATTTTTTACATTGGAGGAACAGCAAAACTATTTTCCACAGAAGGAACCCTACTGGCAATTCCCACTGTTTTTCATACCTTTGTCAGTAATTGTCATTTCTGATTAAAAATGTATATCTATCTGTTATATATTAATGTCAGCCGTCGCAAAACACACCAAACACCTGAGTAAGGGAAAGGGTTTACTGGGGAACACCCTACAGACCGGAGTGAAGGGGCAGCAAAGGAAAAAGAGAGAAAGAGAGTATAAGAGAGAGACAGAGGAGAGAAGATAGAGTAGAGAGAGCCAAGAGAGAGGAGAGAGCGCAGGAGAGAAGAGCCAGGAGTGCAGGAGAGCAGAGCCAAGAGAACATGTGTGCAGGAACAGGCCCTTTTAAAACTTTGCCTGAGGGCGGGCAGGGAAGCAGGAGCAGCGAATCCCATTAGGATGGGGGTGGAGCCTGGCTCAGGTAGCTGGGCCATGCGGCCACCTGGCTACAACTGCGCCAGTTTCCTAACACTATCCAATATGTGTGAGGTAATAAAATGGTACTTATTTATAGTTTCCTAATAACTAATGAAAATGACCATTTTTCATATATTTTTCATCACTTTCTTTGTAAAAAAAAACCTGTATGTCATTTTTTAACTTTTTAAAAAAAAATACTTACTTGTTTATTTGAAAGGCAGAGCCACAGAAAGAGAGACAGAGAGATAAAGAGATCTTCCATCCACTGGCTCACTCACCAAATGGCCACAATGGCTAGGGCTGGGCCAAGCTGAAGCCAGGAGCTGGGAGCTTCTTCTAGGTCTCCCATGTGGGTGCAGGGGCCCAATGACTTGGGTCATCCTCTACTGCTTTCCTAAGAATATTAGATCATAAGTAGAATACCTAGGTCATGAACTGCTGGTTGTACAGTAAGAACACATTTAATATTACTGAACAAACGTAAATGAATATGGGAAAACATATGGTATCTATCTTTTGGGTACTGGCTTATTTCACTAAGTATAATGCTTTCCAGTTGCATCCATTTTGTTACAAAAGACAGGATTTCAATTTTATGGCTGTGTAGTATTCCATAGTGTATATATACCACATTTTCTTTATCACTGCAGTTTCTGAAGGCCTGTTTCTATAAAGCATTTGAAATAAAAATAGGCCGGCGCTGTGGCTCACTAGGCTAATCCTCCACCTGCAGCGCCGGCACCCTGGGTTCTAGTCCCGGTCAGGGCGCGGGATTCTGTCCCGGTTGCTCCTCTTTCAGTCCAGCCCTCTGCTGTGGCCTGGGAGTGCAGTGGAGGATGGCCCAGGTCCTTGGGCCCTGCACCCACATGGGAGACCAGGAGAAGCACCTGGCTCCTGGCTTTGGATCAGCACGGTGTGCCGGCCACAGCACGCCAGCCGCAGCGGCCACTGGGGGGTGAACCAACCAAAAAGGAAGACCTTTCTTTCTCTCTGTCTCTCTCTCTCTCTCACTGTCCACTCTGCCTGTCAAAAAAAAAAAAGTACTACAAAAAAAAAAGAAATAAAATAAAAATATAGTTATAATATGGGATAAGACAGGTAGTTAGATTAGGGCCATAAACTGGAAAACACACTCCCCACCACACCCTGTGTAACACTACCTTCGTGCCTAAGTCAAATCACTCCCTTCCCAGGATGTACCTCCTTTCACCTGGGACCTGGTAGAGGTGCTAGTTAACCACTCCCCTTTAAACTTTATAAGACAGGGTGTCTAGCTGCAATAAACATGGGGGTGCAGATCACTTTACATTTAAGCACATTTATCTCAATTGCTTTATAAAATTTGCATTTAGAAATTATACCTGGATGACTGAAGGTGCTGGTTTTATCATACCTCTATCTAAATTAAGGTCAAAATTGCATCTATTCAATATTGAATTCTACTTCTTTTTATGAAACTCTAGCTTTAAATCAGCAACATGAAAACAGACATTGGAAAGTCCACCTTAGGGGCTGTATATTATATTGCTATATAATGGGAAAGCTGTTAAAACCAAATTGCAAACCATGTTTGGCAAGTTACAAAACAATATTTTAAAGGCAGTGATTTTCCTAGATTCAAGAAATTCTTTTAAAACCAATGTCCAGCTACAGCTGAACGAAATTTTCATGTACAAGATTGTTATTTACCTAACACATGTTTTTAGAGTTTAATTGAATTTGAGTTTAGTGTTCCACTGGAGATTGTTCATCATGTTAGGTTTAATAGGGAGAGCATTCATCAGAGTAGAAGGATACCCCTCTGGTTGGAGAGATTTTTAAAGGGAAGAATCTGATAGGTGACAGAGTAAGGGGCAACTAGGGAAAAGGAGACATGTCTGAAAATAGTAATTAACCAGGTAGGCATGCTGGTTTGAAGGGCTAGTAGTCATTATTATTTCACAGAGATTGGAAGATACCTTAAGAGTAATGTTGTCTTTGAAGGGGGACCTTAGAGCTGAGTCTGCCCATACAGAGAGCAGGGCGTGTTTGAAATTAAGTTTAAAGAGCAGAGCTGCTTGTTGGGGCACTTGTAGAGCACTGCAAGGACTCTGATAAGGAAGGCAGAAGATGCAAGGAAGGCTCTTTGGTGAGGTTTACTGTGTATTTTTTAGCAGTTTAGGCTTTTACGCAGGAGAGAGTGTCAGAACGGAGGAGGGGGGTTTAGGAAGAGAGAGGTAGTTTTCGCTGTTAACCCAGTGCTAATAAATGAAATGTCTAGGAAATGCTCACTACTAGGACCAGGAAATTGAGTTTGTAGGAATTGAGGAGACCTGGCAAGGCCAACTTGACATTCAATTAGGGATAAAACCTATCAAAAGATCTGATAATCACACCTGGCTTGCTCATGACAAAGCAACGAGCTATTAGAAGGGTGAAGATAGGTGATTTGATTACAGTAGATTGTTAGCTCAAGAGGATGGACTCACCACTCCCTTGCTATTCTTATGGTAAAATTGGAACAGAGGGAGGAGTGAAGGTATTTGGAGGACCTGGGCTAGAGGGTGATGGCATGGAGACAACCTGTTCCTGAACTTGCCTTTGCTTATCCAGGGGGTGTTAGAGAGGATCATAGATAAGGCAAAGGGAGTAGACAAGGTGGGCAGTAGACCTAAAGGGCTGGTTCTGAGATAAGGTTGGGATTCTTAGGTGGGAGAAAGGAGGTAATGGTGAATGAGACAGTGAAGAGCTAGAAAGGGGCTTGGCTAGTAAGGGCTTTGGAAGTAAATAGAACTTGAGCTGAAGAACGTGAGGTATGAAGAGAAGGTTTAGACAGCACGCTTGCCTCAGAATCAGCCCTTACGGCATTCGGACCTGGCTAAAAAGCCCATGAGAGTTTCCCAGGCATGGAAAGACAAGACACTGCAAAAATGACCTAATTGAAAGATCTCTGTGAGTGAGATCCCAGTGAAAAAACGGGCCATCAAAGAAGGAGGTACCTTCCTCTGAAGGGAGGAGAGAACTTCCACTTTGACTATGGCCTTGTCTAAATAAGGTCACAATTGTGGACTCAAGAGGCTTCCACAGCCTTGGCAGCTCGTGACAAGAGCCTCGGGTGATTACTGACATCACAAATAAGAGTGTCAATTGTTAAATCAAGAACAGGAGTCACTGTGCACTTATTCCCCACATAGGATCTCTGTCCTTAATGTGTCGTACTGAGAATTAACGGTAAAATTAGTCTTCAAACAGTACCCTACACTTGTGTGTCTGTGTGGGTGCAGTCTGTTGAAATCTTTACCTAGTATATACTAAATTGATGTTCTCTATATAAAGATAATTGAAATGAATCTGATGAAGAATGGATGGGAGAGGGAGTGGGAGATGGGATGGTTGCGGATGGGACAGTGGTTATGGGGGGGAAAACCACTATAATCCAAAAGTTTTACTTTTCTTTTTTTTTTTTTTTTTTTTGACAGGCAGAGTGGACAGTGAGAGAGAGAGAGACAGAGAGAAAGGTCTTCCTTTGCCGTTGGTTCACCCTCCAATGGCCGCCGCGGCCGGCGCGATGCGGGCCGG